CCCCCGCTGACATCCCGCCCCCAGCATCCCCCTCTCCCCCCCTCCCCCGCCCAACCCCCAAGTTCACTTTTTTTATTGCGGATTCGGGGTCCTCTGGTGCAGCGCAGCACAGCCCCACCTTCAGAAAAAAGAACAAAAAATTCCTTGCCCTGTTTTTGCGTCGCCCGGTTCACCCGGGCGGACCCCCCCGGGCCCAACCGGCCGGGGTCCGCCCGACCGGGGGCTGGCCCAGCCTAGTTTTTTTTTGAATTTTTTTCCACCTCCTTTTTTTCCCCCCTCGTTCATTCGTTTACGCTGGTGGTGTTAGATCATCAACTGCAAAAAAAAAAGAAAAAAATGATCATCAACTGCGGAATAATGTATACTCAGAGAAGTTGCACTCTTTCGGTTTAACAAAGGCATTGGCGTCCGGTTCCTTATCTACCGGCAAGATGGATTTTATTTATATTTTTTACTTTTTTTTGGGGGGGAAGGGGCGGGACAAGGGGGGGGGGAGAAGCTGGAAAATAAATATGGCAGTGATGCCACCACTCACTCATGCTTCCGCCAATTACATCCAGGACCACCATGGACAGTATTTGAACCAAAGTGGAAAGCACAAAAAAAGAAAGAAGGAAAAAGAGAACAGATGGGATTGCATGATCCCAGGGGCCATGTCCGACTTACACGGTAGCGCTAGTTCTACGCTGAGCTTTTGACCGCGTGTGACATGGTGTGACCTCTGGGATGGTGTGTCATCTCCTCGGGATCGGTCGGTGGATTTAGTGGGGATATTCACTGTCTATGGGGCTTGTTAGACCCTCCTTGGAAAATCCTTAGGCATTAGGATGAAGTCCGTGGAAAAAATTTCGTTTTTTGGCGTCGTGGTTACACCGCGTCCTAATTCGATGGGTCCCAAGGAAAACCCTTGGAGGTCTCCGGCGGCCAATTTCATACGCGCATACACGCGGCCGCGGGGGTGGATGTCCGTCATCGTGCTGGGATGTTCGTGCGTTGTCGGCTTGGTCCAGTGGTGGCGAGAGGGAGGCCTACCACATGCTACCGGGCTGGGGAAAAAAAGAAATGGCGCGAACATCCCGGTTCAATGTTTGAAATTTGAAACCTTCGTTAT